TAAAATGAGTATAAACATTAGGTGCCTTGGCCCAGAGATCAGGCAAGATGGAGGAGGAAATGCAAAACAGCCATGCAAGCAAGCTGGTGTCTCTCTCTACATCAGGAAAGCAAGAACATAGCTCTAGCAACTTCCCCTGACATCTCCTTGGCAGCATGGTGTCACATAGCCATCTCCAAATGCAAAGACGATTAAGAAATCAAGCATGGAGAAGTATTTCATGTTAGGTAAATTCTTTTTACAAACCAAATAATGTATAATGACTGAATGTTTAAAAACAATAATAATCTGAAAAAAAAAAAAAAAGAAAAGCTATTTGATGATGATGATGTGGATAGTAGTATCTTTGTCTTGACTGATATGCATAGCAACCATGCTGGAAAAAGAAATGTTATACACTGTCAAAATATATGTGATTTAATGTAATATAAAAAAATAATAATAATAAAAGAAATCAAGCACAGTATTTAATTTTCTTGTATCTATAGTAGAGGGAAGAAAGGAAGAAGAGGTGTGAAGCATGTAAACCTACAGTGCATGCCACAGTAGGGAAAAGTCAAATCAAGTGGGTATATCTTATACTATATTTTTGTTTGTTTTGCCACAGGGCACAAATGCTTACCAGAGAAACAGAGTTGGAGAAAGTGAGAAATCACCCCCAGGAGGCATGACCTTGCAGCAATTCCTTCTCCTCCATTCTTCTCTCAGGATTTTGGACATGCACACACATGCTCCTGGTGTGCTTCTCAAGCTGCTAGGTCCAGGACTTGAATTGCAGTCGGACATGTGGGAGTCCAGCACCTTACCTACCACACCACCTGCTACCTACCAGTACTATTTTCTTTAAAAAGTTGCCAGAGGGCATATGTACTCACTAGAGACCAGAAGGTTGTGGGGAGTACCTCCCAAAGGGGCATAGTCATGCTATAATCCCTTCCCCTTCATTTCTCCATCCCCTTGAGATTTGGGGTATGGATGCATAGTCACCTGGTATGTTTTGTAAGCTGCTGGGGCCAAGATCCAAAATTTAGCCAGCCATATGGGATCCAACTTCCTTAACTATTAGGCTTTGGGGCCTAACTTAGGAAAGAATTTTTTTTTTTTAAGAGAGATTATTTTTTTGCTATAGAGCACATGCACTCACCACAGAAGACAAAGAGACAGGAAGAGAGAAATCACCCCCAAGGGGGTATGGTCACACCACAATCTCTTCTCCGGTCTCCTCTTGGGATTTTGGGCACCCCTGCACACGTGCCCAACATGAGTTTCAAGCCACTGAGTCCAGGACTCAACCTGTGGTCATTATGTGTAACATACATACATAACAATGTAACCGTGCTGGTCTTTTACTACTATTTTTATGCATACATTTTTAGACAGACTAGCATAATAGAAAAATTAAAAGATACGAGATCTAAATGGAAATTTTTTTGCCTTATGAAATTGAACTCAAGGAGTAGTTCATCTGATATTCACTGAGCAAAACATTATCAATAAAACTTTAGACATGGGGCCTGCAGGAGGGATGGATGTTAAGGTCGCTGGACCCCACATGGCCAACTTTGTGGTTTGAAATCCTGCAGCTTGCAGGATCTAGTCATGTGTATGTGTGTGCACCAAGCCCCAAGGACAAAGGATGGAAAGGGATTGCAAAATGGCCATCCCCTCTGGGAGGTGACTACTCACCTTCTCGCTTTCTCCCTCTAGTGAACACATGCACCCTACGGTAAAACTAAAAAGAAATGAAAACAAACAGAAAAACTCCAGGCACAATTTGGTACAAGCACTCCTCACTTAAAGACAGAGTTTCACTCCTAGGATCTAGTCATTAAGTGAACTGGTTGAAAATAGAGCTTAAAGGTGGATGTCTAGCGGTATCTTGTGGTGCCACAGGGACAGTAGATATCATGCGATGATACCACACTAGAATAATATAATCCTATCCATACAAAAAGCATACATTAGATAAACACCAGAAAGCAACAGGACACATCACAGCATAATTACACTTGATGTAATTTTATTTATTCTGAATACTACAATAAGTACAAATTTATAAACAAAATATGTAATCCTATGTGACTGCAAACATTCCATGTAGTGAAAACTAACCTATTGCAGAATAAGACAAAGACAGAGAAAGGAGATTCCCGAGACTTACAGGACTGAGAAAGGGGATTCTCTGCCCTGAAGTCTTAAGTCTGAGTGTTCACTGAACAGGTAGGCCATTAAGTGAGGAGTGGTAGTAAAATAGGTTTTATCTGTTTTAGAATCTGCTGAGTCTTTCTCTTGGGTCCCACTTTAAATACTCATGGCCCTACTTAGCATTGTCTTTGGCATTTTCCTTTCCTGTTCTATTGCCTACAGTTTGAAGATCTCTCTGCATATTGATGATTCACAATGTTTTTATTTCCAGCCCAAATCTCTCTTTTCCCAGACCTATATCTGTTATGCTTTTTAAGCCACAGGGGCCAGGATTTCAACTGCAGTCAGTCATATATGATCTGGCTCCTGTTAACTACTAGACCATAGGCAGGCCCAGTGAGAGTTAGTTTTGATGCAAAAATTTTTCATAATCCATGAATAGTTTTTCTGTAATACGCATTTTTCATGAACTTTTTGAAAACCCTGTATATGTATTTGTCATAATCTACATAATCATGTGTTAAGTGAATAAAGAGAAATATATAAGAATGTGCATGATATGCTGACATTAGTATTTTTTTGTAAAGGGAATATATCTTATATATGTTGGTAATACCTCTGAAAGAATGCATAAAAAACCAGTTACAGTGGTTGCCTTTAGACAGGAGAACTGAGAGCTGGGGTTAGCTCTGAGAGACTTATTTTTCATTAAATATCCTATTGTATCTTTTACATTTTGCATCAAGTACACATAATAAATAATTAAATAAATTAATGTGATGAACTTTACTAATTAAAATGCCAATTGATTTCATAAAGCTTTATTTTCAGTTTTTTTCTAGTTTATAGTTTGGTCTGTTTTGCAGGGAAAAAGTCTGCAGAAACTGTTCGGTCATTCAAACAATTATTTAGTAATCATTAAGTACTAGGAATACAAGCATATAAAGAAATACAAGACTTAAAAGAGCTCATAATCTAGGGATAATGAACATGTATTCAAATAATTCAAATATAAAAAGTTACTTTTCATCCAAAGCTTCTTTAATAGCAGCTGAGTATAAATCCAATATTACTTTACAGAGACTGCTTTCTGGGTTGCAGCAGCAAAAATGACAGTTCCACATGGAAAGGGTAGACAAATAAGATCATGACTTAAGGTAAAAGACCAGAGAGCAATGGAATAGGTTAGGTTCCGGCCAAGCAATGGTGATGAAGATCTGTAACTTAAGAATTAATGGCACTAGAATTATCCAACATGATTTTGAATAACTGAAAGTGTTGTGTAATAAAGTAAGGGGAGAGCCAGCAGGTGGTGTGGTGATTAAGGGTGCTGGACTCCCACGTGGTCAACTGCAGTTCGAGTCCCGGATCACTTTCTCTCTCCACCTCCCCCCCACATTCCGGTCAAATCAAAATAAGTAAAATAAAATAAAGTTCAATAAAATAATTTTAAAAAATAAAGTAGGGACCAGCAGTTGGCATAATGGCTATGTTGTTGGATTCCCATGTAGTTGACCCAGTGGCTTAAACTCGTGTCAGGCATGTGTACGTGCGTGCCCAAGATCCCGAGAGGAGAATGAAGGAGAAGAGACTGCGACGTGGCCATCCCCCCTGGGGGGTGATTTCTTACTTTCTGTCTCTCTATATCTCTCTGTCTTTCTGGTGAGTGCATGCGCCCTATGGCAAAAACCTCCCCCCCCAAAATAAAATAAATAAATAAAGTAAGGGGAAAAAGTGCAGGTGTAAGTGACTGACTGAATAATAAATAATAATAAATTACTGATAAATCAGAAACATTCCCACATTCTGCCTTTCCTTTAAAAAAACATTAAACCCTTATTTTAGCCAATTATATAAGATACAACATTTTTGGTGATTGACTAGAAGTAATCAGTGGGTTAGCTTCACAATTATGTTAGCTGAAGTGATGAAGCACTTAATATACATGTCAATTTCTTTATATCCTTGCAATAAAGAATTATTCCTACAATAACGTAAGATACAAAGATAACAACATTTATCACCTCCTTAACATCTTTTCATTTAGAGATCTCAAAGCATTTGCAAACATTCATTCATTTCCAGTATCCTGGTCTCATACAGTAAAGACATAAATTGGGACACAAACAAGGTGAACAGCTCAAGGTCAACTGATAAATCAATAGCAGATTTTGAAAAAGATATACATGCTGATTCTTGCCCCTAATTCTAAGTCATATTCCCATCATGAAATGTTTCTTCTCTTAAAGGATCTGCAAAAGTTCATCTTTGATGCTAAATAACAAATGATTAAAAAGTATCACTAAATTCTAGGGTTATGAGGGCCAATAATTGTATTTTCCTATACACTGTTCTATTTTTCAATGAACAATATTATGGTCCTTAAACATCTTCCCTGCAATGCAGCTAATTTAACAGAATAAATGTACTCTTGAACATCAATGAAACAATGTAAGCCACAACTAGTCATGGAGTACAGTATATTATAAAAAATAATAATTATTATAAGACAACAGAACCCTCTACAATCTACAGGGATTTGAAGATTATGATAAACCTGTATAGTATCATAGTACACTTAATGATTACTTATCACAAAAAATTACCATGCAAAAAGGAAAACTTAAGTGCTAAGAACTACACAAAATCTACAGCATTCTTTAGAAATCTAACTTATCTATTCAAAAGTACTAATTCCTATTATTACTTTGGATTTATTTTAGAACAAGAATCATTAGTCCTAAGCAGAATTTAATAAGATTTAAAAATCTTTTTAAAAAATGTGAATGAAGCCTTACAGTATTACAGCTGAATTTCAATCAGTGAATCTGAAGATTTTATTCCTACATGCTTACCTGCGCATTGGTTTTCCTTCCATGCACCATGAAAAGTACCCTTCACCACACTCTAAAACCGAACCTAAGATGAAAAAAAAGGCAGTAATAAAACCTATTTCTGATCTTCGAGTAACAATCTTTATATATAATCAATCATTCATTTTGTCAGTAATCAAAAATGTTACATCCTATTATAGCACATGCCCTTTGCAGATACACAAATCAAAACGGAATGTACTATTTTTAAAATGACTATTCTTACTCTGCAGCTAAAACAATTTTATGTGGAGGTGAGCATAAGTGCGCCAAGTAGTCCCGATTGATAGGGCAGTCTTCTTCTTCTTCTTCTTTTTTTTTTTTTTCTTTTTTTTTGGAGAGGTTTTTGCTGTAGGGCGAATGCACTCCCCAGAAAGAGAAACAGAGAGACAAATGGAGAAATCACCCTCCAGAGAGGATGGCCAAGCCGCAATCCCTTCTCCTTCATTCTCTTCTCGGGATCCTGGGCACGCAGAGACACACGCCTGGCGTGAGTTTAAGCCACCGAGTCCAGGACTCCAACCGCGGTCAACTATATGGGGGTCCAGCGACATAGCCATTACGCCAACTGCTGTTCCCAGGTCAGTTTTACTTCTCTTCAATAGTACTTGGAATTAACTTTGAAGTCACATCAAGCGTAACTACCAGTGAAATCCCCAGAAAACCACAGCAGTACTCAGCTCATAAGGCGACACGCTGGTTTAACAACAGATCTGAAGGTTGATAATTGTCTCAAAGTGACTGAGGCAGGAGGGACATTTGCCTTTCAAAATAAACAGCACTGCTCTAGACAGTCGGAGCAGGGCTGGTAACCTCAGGGAAGTATGGCTCCAAACTCTGTGCAAGCACCTCCCTTAGTTCGCCAACAACATTCACCACCCACTTGGCAGGTCTCGCCACGTCCCGCGGGTAAAAAGGTACACACGGACTCACTTTCTTCTCCTGAATTTCAAACACTGCCCGGGGAAGCTGTCCTGGGTGAAGAACCCCAGAGGCCCGAGGCAGTACAGGCCAAACCAGTGACCTGCCCAGCTCCGGGAAAAGGCTGTCAGTCAGTGAGAGCGCAGTCAGGTACCCGCAGAAATCCGGCTCCAGGGCCCCAAATGTCTCTGATCGGCGCCGATTGACAGGCGACTGACGCAGGACCACCCCGGCCCCACCCGGCAGGTCGGCTACTTGGGACCACAGATTTGCAAGTAAGCCCTGGGGCACTGGTGCTGTTCCGCCCCTTAGGCGGTTCACTCACCGGCTCTGACACTTTCTTCTCTGTCACAGCCTTCTCCGCCTCCTCCAACCTCCTCTACGATCCCCTCCTCTCAGCCTCCTCCGCCGCGGCTACCGCAGGCAGGATGCTCCTCCTAGAGCTATTTCCTTTTCCCCCCACCCGCCCTTATCCAGAAGCAGGAAATAGTTCAGTTCCTAAATCATTCCGGCTGGAACTCACATATTTCGCCAAGAGGTTCCGCGGTTCCGGAAGTAACCGCACCCTTTGCTGGGATTTCAGATTGCTTGTTCTCCTCAACAGTTTTTATTATTTTTTTTAAATTAACTTATTAACTTTATCTGTCTGTCTGTCTATCTATCTGTCTACTTATCTATCTATCTATCTATCTATTTATTTATTTAAAAATTAGACCAGAGAGGGGCAGAGCGAGAGTGAGGGAAAATGAGAAAGTAAGCCACCAGGTCCAGGACTTGAACCGACAGCAGCCATGTGGCAGTCCAGTGTTATTAACCACCACACCACCTGCCAGCTCCACCAACAGTTTGTATCTGGACAGTGGCCACTTTGAGAGTTCATCGCTGAATTTGAGTAGTGAAGCCCCCTCCTTTCTTTGTTTTCCCCAGTAGAGGCAATAAAAAAGATGGGTTGTAGTCAGGGAAAGCTAGAATTTTTTTTTACCATGTTTATTTGTAGCTGGTGGGTCTCTCTTTAGCATAATGTTGTCCTTTATTGTGGATTGGATTACTGATACATGTATACATGGAATCAACACGTATCACATATCTACTGTTATACAGAGGACTCGAAAAATTTTGTGGATAATGGAATTAAAAGATTAAAAATAAAAACATAAACTTTTATTTCTTGATATAAACACCATTAAGCTCAAGACACATTGTAACTGCTGATTTTGTTGGGGGCATTGATTTCACCAACTTTTCATAAAGTATCAATGATTTCATCACTCTTCTGTTCAAGCTTTATTAGAAATTGCATGCTTGTTCTTCAGGTTTAGCAGAATTCATGTTGCTGTCTCTGATAGGGGCTCTGAAGGGGCATATTAGCTCCAAACCCAAATATCTTAGACATTTTTTGATCAAAAGAGCACCTTCATAGTTCCACAAGTGCGTTGAGCATTTTCTTTCTTTCTTTTCTTTTTTAGGGATTAACCATTGGATGTTTGTCCCATATCTTGGGCTTTGCTGAAGAGAAGGCAAGGTCTCCAGGCAAACTTGAGTATGCTTGGCATGGCAGTAGGAAGGCCTAAACAGTCAAATCTGATCTAGCTAGTCTCATCAGGAGGAGACATCTCTTAGTTGGAATTTCCTTGGGATCAGAAGAAGATTTCCACCTGAAAGGAGGAAAGAAAGGAGAATTTCTTTTCTTTTCTTTTCTTTTTTTTCGGAGGTGAGGGAGAGGGCAGGGAAGGGGATTTTTTACTATAGGGTGCATGTGCATGCCAGAAAGACAGAGAGAGACAGAAACAGAAAGTGAGAAATCACCCCCTGGGATGATTCTCCATTCTTCTCTCAGAATTTTGCGCACTCATGCACAAGCGCCTGGCATGAGTTTTAAGCTGCTGGCTCTTGTCGACTATGTGGGAATCCAGCTGTGTAACCATTACACCACCCACCTGTTCCGCTGCTTGATCTTACCACAAGTGGCTGACTCATCCAGAAAAAATAACTGAACAACCCACATGTTGTAAAAGACTGCCTTATTCGCTTCAACCTAAATCCCTTTCTTTTAAAAGTCCCTAACTGCTCTCTGCTCTTCTCCAGGACAAATGAAGCTTTGGCATCTGATCCCTTTCCTCCCCTTTGGACAGTGAATAAACCTTTTTCTATTTACTTACACTCTGAGTCTGCGAGTTCTTTCATGGCCCAGGACACAGATCACCCAAACAGGCTCTTTTCAAACTGATACCTTATCCTTCTTAATGCCCCAAACTTGATTCTGTTAAGACATGTTATAACAAATTAGTCTGAGTTTACATTGGTGCCAAAAAAAAAAAAAAAGAAATCCATGCATAAGTTTTTCATAACATGCATTTTCTCTTTTTTTTTTTTGGAGAGGTTTTTGCTATAGGGCGCGTGCGCTTGCCAGACAGACAGAGAGAGACATAGAGACAGAAAGCGAGAAATCACCCCCCAGGGGGATGGTCGTGCCGCAATCCCTTCTCCTCCATTCTCCTCTCAGGATTTTGGGCACACACGCGCCCGGCGTGAGTTTTAAGCCACCGGGTCTAGGACATGAACTGCGGTCGACCACGTGCGAGTCCAGCGACATAGATTAACCATTGGATGTTTGTCCCATATCTTGGGCTTTGCTGAAGAGAAGGCAAGGTCTCCAGGCAAACTTGAGTATGCTTGGCATGGCAGTAGGAAGGCCTAAACAGTCAAATCTGATCTAGCTAGTCTCATCAGGAGGAGACATCTCTTAGTTGGAATTTCCTTGGGATCAGAAGAAGATTTCCACCTGAAAGGAGGAAAGAAAGGAGAATTTCTTTTCTTTTCTTTTCTTTTTTTTCGGAGGTGAGGGAGAGGGCAGGGAAGGGGATTTTTTACTATAGGGTGCATGTGCATGCCAGAAAGACAGAGAGAGACAGAAACAGAAAGTGAGAAATCACCCCCTGGGATGATTCTCCATTCTTCTCTCAGAATTTTGCGCACTCATGCACAAGCGCCTGGCATGAGTTTTAAGCTGCTGGCTCTTGTCGACTATGTGGGAATCCAGCTGTGTAACCATTACACCACCCACCTGTTCCGCTGCTTGATCTTACCACAAGTGGCTGACTCATCCAGAAAAAATAACTGAACAACCCACATGTTGTAAAAGACTGCCTTATTCGCTTCAACCTAAATCCCTTTCTTTTAAAAGTCCCTAACTGCTCTCTGCTCTTCTCCAGGACAAATGAAGCTTTGGCATCTGATCCCTTTCCTCCCCTTTGGACAGTGAATAAACCTTTTTCTATTTACTTACACTCTGAGTCTGCGAGTTCTTTCATGGCCCAGGACACAGATCACCCAAACAGGCTCTTTTCAAACTGATACCTTATCCTTCTTAATGCCCCAAACTTGATTCTGTTAAGACATGTTATAACAAATTAGTCTGAGTTTACATTGGTGCCAAAAAAAAAAAAAAAGAAATCCATGCATAAGTTTTTCATAACATGCATTTTCTCTTTTTTTTTTTTGGAGAGGTTTTTGCTATAGGGCGCGTGCGCTTGCCAGACAGACAGAGAGAGACATAGAGACAGAAAGCGAGAAATCACCCCCCAGGGGGATGGTCGTGCCGCAATCCCTTCTCCTCCATTCTCCTCTCAGGATTTTGGGCACACACGCGCCCGGCGTGAGTTTTAAGCCACCGGGTCTAGGACATGAACTGCGGTCGACCACGTGCGAGTCCAGCGACATAGCCATTATGCTAACTGCTGGTCCCATAACATGCATTTTCTGTGAAGTTGTATTTATTTATTATGTTTTAATGCTAGAGAGCACTGTGGATATGAGAGAAAGAGAGAGCGAGAAGCACCCTTGGCAGGGATCTCCTTACAGAGCTATCTCATTTCTGCAGCCCTCCAGCCCCTGGGAAACTGCACACATGGAGTACGTTTTCAAACTGACCTGAGGATCTGAACCTCTAGTTGGCCATATGGCTAACTTTCTTGAAAGGCCCTTTAGTACTCACACCAGACACTTCACCAAACTCTTCTATGGACTCATTTCAGTATTAAGGGGGGGAAGTATTTTTCAATTTGTCTCTTGCTTCAGATTTTCTCTTAGCACAGTCACCTGAGTGACTATTTTTTATTTAGAAAAAAAGTGATACAATGGTAAGATGGAGGTTACAATTTCTGGAACATCAGTAAAGGACCGTTGCTGATTTCCTGATAATTATCATAGGTTAAGCGTTAATTTCGCCAAATTTTCGTTAGTTGTGCTTTACATGGAATGTACTCACATTTGTCCAGTTGTTTCTGAAAGGAGAAGATACTTCTTGTTAGTTAGCTTGCAGTAGGAAATGCATGGCCTTGAGATTCAGACATCTACAGGTTCAAATCCTAGTCTTGTGACTCTAGCTTTACGATCTTGGTCAACTTCTTACTATATATATGTGTGTGCAGTAAGATTATTTCTTTTCCATATTTTAAAACTTTATGTAAATGCTATTAAAGTGTATGCATTCTGCTGCAACTTGCTTTTTTCATTCAGCGTTCTATTTGTAAGATTTGTTTATGTTGATCAATAGAAGTCCAATTTGGTGATTCTTTTTTTTTTTTATTTTATTATCATCATAATCTTCTTTCTATTACACTAGATTACATATAACTTTACATTGACTTCCATTGCTTTTTCAAAAGGGAATGCCATGCATGTCAGTCAATACAGAGATATCAATCTCCCCGCTTTATCATTCAATATCTTTTCCATGCTTTTCCCAATAATTATTATTATAATTTTTTTAAACAGTCAATCACTATTTCTCATTTTGCTTATTAAAAAGACTTCACCCATCATGAAATACTTTCCAGACCGGTTCAGTTGAGAATACTATACATGTCATCATCAACAGGTAATAAACCATATCTATTTCTCATTAACATCCTGCCTCTCTATTGTTCACTGCTGTCTTTATCCTCTTCTCCCTCCTTTTTTTTTTTTTATACTTTGTTTTTTATTATAAATTTTTTCTCATCACAACACACATATGAATTTTCCATCCAAAATACACTGTGCATTGGCTCAATCAAGCACATCAACATATATGTTCTCAGCAAATGATTTCCCAATTTTTGTGTCCTGCATACCTTGCCTTTTGTTTTGCCATCCTAGGTTCCCCATCCCCACCCTCTGCCATGTCCCATCTTCCTCCTCCATTGTCCCTGACATTCATGATTGCCCTCAATGGCTTCCGCCCCCCCCCATTCAATTGTTCTACCAATGAACTCAATTAGTCTAAGTATATCCACTAGCTAGCACAGCTGACATATCCTTACACATGTATCCAAATCTGATCCTAGGCATAAACCCCAGGGAGTAGAATGAACATATTATAAAGTAGACCCCAGTTGTGTCCATACAACTCTCTTCAGTCATCAAATGTGCATTTTTTTTTCCTCCTGCTTATTACTTTTTTTATATTAAATTATATTG